TCATTTCTTTCAATGAGAAAAAACAAGTGAGATTATTGTTGAATCTGATCTTCACAAAGACTGTAACGGAGAAGTCTACGCAATTTTAGCAACACAAGGAGAATCGACCAGAATCAGTGTTTGGTATGTTGTCAGAGAACTGTGTATCATCCGGGCTACTTTTTCAAAGAATCTCTATTAGTTGGGAGCGTTACCTTGAAACGGTGTAAAATTTTTTTTATCCGTAGACTAGTAGAAATGTATCATTCAGATACAACTTGCTTCCAGCAACATAGTGCACTTTACCATTATGCTGAGACTGCGGCACACAGTTTTTGGTTGACGTTTCTCGAGACAAATTTATTGGTAGAGATTGACCAACTGTTGTGTCATAACATTCGATAGCACAGTAGCTACAATCTTCATGGGGTAACATGCAGACTCTTCTTCACTCTTCAAGGGAACATTCTTCGACTTAACCTTAGGTCAGGATGAAACAGTGTATCAAACGCAATCACTCGTCCTCAACTGATGTTTTGAACCATCTAGAAAAATGGTTTTAAGGATGTACCACTAGGATGGCGATTTTGCTGGTGCGCAGATGCAATCGTAGCCGTCAAGCTCTATGAACTGTGCTTTCATATGGTAGTTAGAATTTTTTACGTTACGTATATTCGTTGTTATTAATGTTTAAATTTTCAAATGGACTCGTTCAAAAAGGTAATCGTTGCTCGTCAAGCCAGGATGGTGTAACTTGTATCGACCAGTGATGGGAATTTGAGTTACAGAGTTTTGGCCTAGGCTGGTTAGCCGCTGGTACAAATAGATGTTTGGGATCTTTGTCCTCTCGCCTTCGCTCTCGATAAATGGGTGTTTCTAAATTTCTTTGATTCTTATTTCGAACCGGGACTCTTCCATGCACCTGGAGAAGCCTGTCAAACGAATTCATGCAGTAGTCGCGTCTGCTGGCCGTTTGGGCGTTGCTAATGGTTTTCGACGTTGAGGCGCATCGCTTCAACGAGGAACGGGAGCTAGCGTACGACCGCCGACAAGTAATCACCAATTGCCAAGAGTTGTCGACGACTCTCGAAGCCGGCATTATTTAGCGCGCATCGCGTTCTGAACGCGGTTGTGATATCCTCCTCATCCGTCTCCTTTTCTTTCTCCTTCTCCTCCTTCTCCGTCTCACTCTCATTCTCTTTCTCTCCTCCTCATCGTTCAGCCTCATCGTCTTCGACGACAACGCGTTTCGAGTTGTTCGTTTAGTCAGTGGTGGAGACTTGGCAGCACCGAACAGACGTAAGCACGCGAGAAGACACCAGAAGAGAAACGCAGCTAGGAGCAGAGTGGAAACGAGTAGAGGAAACGTATTGCGAACTGAAACGGGCATCATTCGAATCACTGAACGCAAGAAGTATAGAAGGTACAGCTAAGTGAAAGACATCTTCGTCAACGGACTCGATCGACTGCCGACGACATCTGCACAGGGTTCGTTTCGAACAGCTTTCAAACATCTGTCTGTGCGTAACGTTGTGGTGTTTTCAGGTTCTCCAGCGGAACGTGGACGACAACTGCCATTGCTTCATTGATCGCGCGTTAGCAGCACCTTCGATAAGACCTCGTCGTGAGTGAGGTAGAGAGTGAAGTGAGTAGTGCACGTTGGTTAGTATGTACGCGAGGATGTTTGTGTGGCCGGCGACACCAACAGCTGGGAGAGGCACACCACAAGGCCGAGAGCTGAACAAGAACAACCTCCGCTTGGTTGACGATGACGACAAGTCGAGTCGAGTTGTTCCTCGCCAAACTCCTCGTTCGTTTTCCTCTCATTCGTCGTCTACGTGAAAATTCGGCAAAATTCGCACAGCGATTCCTTGCCTCGTTATGCGTACTCCGATTTTCGTGATCCGAACTTCTAGCGTCGCTATAACCTCGTTTCTGGCTCCTACTTCTCGCGTTCCTACAACCGGCTATCGGTTTTCCGTCTACCCTCATGAATAACAAAAACGCGATTCCTGATGTTCACGTGACGCTACGTCTAATTGTAGCAATTTTGCATGCTTACTCTAAATGCTGCTGTGTCGGTAAGAATCATGTTTATCACCGAAGAGCCAGGCGAATGCTTCGTCGAATTCCATTTGCCTCACTTTGTCTTGCGAGTTCAGCTGTTAAACGATGAACATCTGTTGACGTCGATCAGTAAATAGCATGCTAGAGACAGAAGTAAATAGGCATGTAGAAGCAGGGTTTCTGTATTAGTGGTTCCGAGCAACTCATTGTTAATTTTCACCTCATATTCAGTTTGACTTGACTGAATGAATTTGGCAATTAAGTACATTAAAATCGAAGTTAATATCTTGTCTCTATCGTTATGCTTATCTTTTCCTTTTGGTTTTACGAAACTGGCTTACGTGATATGAAATGCGTTCTAAAAGTCATGCCTGTTCTGTGCCATCATTGGAAAATGGAGAAATGTTACATGCCACAGAACATCTTTCGATACAGTGACCATGGGCACAAAGAAGTGTCGTCGAATAATGTTTTATTTTCGGATGAGGCAACAACTTCCATCATCAGGCTTATACCTGTAACATGAGGTAGCTGAGGAAGATGAGTTCAGGTAGTTCAAAGCGATTGTATACTCAAAAGGCTTTGAACGATGATTCTTCGAAGGCCGTGGCGTTTCCATTGCCCTCTCGTAGCGAAGTTTCGAGTTTTTGCGCAATTCATAACCGAACCTGCGATGAAGACCTTCGCTGTGCTTTTCTTCTCCTCGAGCTGGCGACGGCTTGCCGTGTAAAGGTGAGTGTATATGTATGTTAGAGAGAGGAGGAAAGAATGATTACGGCGGCAGACAGCGCAGCGGCGATGATGAGGCGAGACATTTGTTGCCTGCTGAACGGCTTCTTGGCCTGGCGCCTTTCATCGTAGCAGAATAGCTGTTGGCGAGTTCATTCGAGCCAAGAATTTGCCGTCGTCATCGTTATAAACCTACCTGCACGCTTAGCCGCGCCGCCATAATGTATTCGTAGAGGAAGAAAGAATTAAGTGGAATATTTGAGGTTGACGTTGGTTTTTTGACGACGGCGAGTACTGACCGGAATAAGATGGCAGTCCAATGGTGGCAAACCTTTGTTCTCCATTAAAGCCTTACGCAGTTGCCTCACGGAGGGTACTGAGTGGCGGTTATTGAGGAAGCAACCGAAGCAACGTTTGGCATAAGTATTTTTTTTTCATAACCTGTGGGACGAATCCGAGTGTCCCTTCAAGACAGGTCTGCGACTTCAGCTGTCATGGGACATGAAGGAGGTGTGCATGTGACGACTCACTGCCGACATCGCTGTCATTCGGCACGAAACAGCAGGAGTGAGACATGCGAAAAACACCGGCTTTATGTGCGGCTTAGGAATTTGCACGGCAGAAGATTATTGATGGAACGCACTAAAAATAGGCGACCGATGCAGTGAGGGTGCGGGTGAGTCCTGAATGCGTTGTAAACCACTGAAG